TGCATAAATAAATAAATAATGTTTTGATTGGAATAAGCTCTCTTGGGTAGGAAGCTCTCTTGGGTAGGACTAGCTCTCTTGGGTAGGATTTTGGGACAAAATTTGCACAATACAATGTCCATGTACATGTATATGGCAAGTTATTTAGAACTGCTGTTACTTGTAATGAATCTTTGCATAGCTGATACATTATTTCAGTATTTGGTAATTGGGACATTTTTAGGAATATAATTATGATTCCATTAATAACCAAATTGTTGTAGCTCATAATCTATGCAGAAAATGAGAAATGAATGAAAACAGTAACATGTAAAGTTTCTTTCAAATTAGTGTTTAATACAGTGAAATATTATATGTTTTAATACATGGTTGAATATTGAAACCTCTCATATATATTTTTATGAAAGAATTGTGTAATTTTGTCACATTTTGGATATTTATGTGTGATAACTGTCTGTTGTATTTTGATGCCTCTGTGTTAGATTCTGACTCATAGTACTCTACTTGTCCATAATTTTTGCTAGTATAAAATAGAAACTATTCTTATCAAATTCAAACCACATGTAAAACTAAACTTCACTTATCCAACAAGTAGACATATAAAATAAAGTTTACCAGTAAAAAGTTAAAGTAAATCAGCACTGAAACTGTACATAATTCTAACAAAGAAGAAATTAATCTAAATTTTATGTCTGGATCAGTCTCAAACTTAATTCTCTTGAACAGATAAGTGATCAGAACAATTTCACTCACAGACATTACATTAAATTAAGTTTTTTAAATGACTGGATTAAAAGTTTCAGTCCAATGAATCCCAAGAAGCCAATGTTACAGCCTATTTTCAGGACTGTAATCATATTATACAGAAATTCTGGCTAGAATATCTCCTTGTAAGCATGGAAACATGACAGTTTGCAAGTAAAACTCAATCTGTGACAAAAAACGCCAAGCTTTGATTATCTAATCAACAAGAAACCTAATTTGATTGATTCTTTCAGGTTTGTTAAGTAACATTTGACAAATAATTAAAAGCAAACTTGGTTGCTCAGACACCCTCCTCTCACACTTGAGACTATAAGGAGAATTTCTATGATCGAGAGGATTTTATGTGAAGTAAATTACAATCACAAGACTTCAATGATTTATCTGTACATACTGAAATCATGGTCTTTAAAGATTGTCAAGTAAGAACAGAGCCCATATTTATCAGCATTTAATGTCTAAAATTAAACTGGCTTTAAGATACTAATTCTCAATATGGCCATAGTTTGTATGACTTTAAATGATCTTGATAAAATTCTGAGGCATTATTTTATAGCTATATGATGGACATTTTTGCAACCTTTAATTAACCAGAAAGCATGAGGGAACAAAACCTTTATCATTTAAAATCTATTTCTAGAGTTCTGAATTTAAATTCTCTATGAACAGGTATCCGGACAATCCCTTTCTCAGACAATTTCTCTTCCATTTTGACACCTTCCATTATTTTTATAGTTTGGACAGTTCCCCTCTCTATTTTTTTTTTCAATGTCCGCAATTTTATATCCCTCCCACATAATTTACACAAGTGACAATTCCCTACACATATAATTATAAGAAAAAATATGAAATAATTTTCAGTATATTCTTTAAAACGCCAAATATGATGGGGTCTCTTTTTTTTTCAAAACATTTATTACTTTGTTCGTATTTTTTGATAATAATATGTTTTGATTTACATAAGAGATAAATTACATGGAACTAAACTGTGTGGATATTAATTGATGTAATCTAGCATGTACAAGTGAAAATGAGGACAATTATTGTATTCAATTCTGACAAATAACATTGACCTCAAATGTTAACCTTCAAACTTCAAAATATTTAGGTAAATTTGATAGAATAATGTATATAATATCAAGATAATTTTGATAATGAACACATTTTTTTCTAAATTTGTATAAAATGAAACATTGACCTTTGATATACACATTGTCTATCATTTATGTAAACAAAATATTTTGGTTTTCTTGTTTAAAAAAAATTTAGTTGAATGAATACTGAAAAATGTCTTCAAACAAAAAATGGATGACAGAATGCACACATGGATCATATATAACTTTAAAATGAATAAGATGTTCACTGCTGAAGAAGAAGTGTATATATATAAGATATATATATTATAAACTTTCTGCCTGTTCAGAATAAATTATACACATATCTGAAAGTAAGCATAATTGGGAATAATTTCAAGTTTAAATTGAATTTGGAATATCTGTTTGTGCATTTTGTAACTCCCCAATGGCAGTTGTATATCTGTATAAAAGATATCAAACTTGTTTATAAATCATAGCACACATAAAATAGGTCCCAAAACTAATCAAGACCATTCGTAAGATGCACTTGTAATGTTCAGGGGTTCAATAAAGAACAATTATCTGTCCTATTACATCCAATATGATGACCAGACATATAACCTTCTCATTATCAGCAATATCAAAATCCTGCTACAGTCTGCCATTAGACAAATGTGTCAGATATAATATAAAATGGTTCCATTAATGCTCTTGTAGCCATCTAGATTTTATCTTTAAAAGGAGAGAAAAAATGCTCCCAGACAAAGAAACTAAAATATAAGAATAATAATAGTGAAATGATAATCTGTGGTATATGGTTTGAGTCTCTGCCAGACTGTATATAAGTCTCGGGCAGATTGTTTATAAGTATTGGGCAGGCTGTATATTATCATTGGACAGGCTGTTTTTTTTATTATTGAGCAGACTGTATATTAGTATTGAGCAGACTGTATATTAGTATTGGGCAGACTGTATATTAATATTGAGCAGACTGTATATTAGTATTGGGCAGACTGTATATTAGTTTTGAGCAGACTGTATATTAGTATTGGGCAGACTGTATATTAGTATTAGGCAGGCTGTATATTAGTATTGGGCAGGCAGTATATTAGTATTGGGGCAGACTGTATATTAGTATTGGGCAGACTGTATATTAGTATTGGGCAGACTGTATATTAGTATTGGGCAGACTGTATATTAGTATTGAGCAGACTGTATATTAGTATTGGGCAGACTGTATATTAGTATTTGAGCAGACTGTATATTAGTATTGGGCAGACTGTATATTAATATTGAGCAGACTGTATATTAGTATTGGGCAGACTGTATATTAGTATTGAGCAGACTGTATATTAGTATTGGGCAGACTGTATATTAATATTGAGCAGACTGTATATTAGTATTGGGCAGACTGTATATTAATATTGAGCAGACTGTATATTAGTATTGGGCAGAGTGTATATTAATATTGAGCAGACTGTATATTAGTATTGGGCAGACTGTATATTAGTATTGGGCAGACTGTATATTAGTATTGGGCAGACTGTATATTAGTATTGGGCAGACTGTATATTAGTATTGAGCAGACTGTATATTAGTATTGGGCAGACTGTATATTAGTATTGGGCAGACTGTATATTAGTATTGAGCAGACTGTATATTAGTATAGGGAAGACTGTATATTAGTATTGGGCTGGCTGTATATTAGTATTGAGTAGACTGTATATTAGTATTTGGCAGACTGTATACAAGTATTAGACAGGCTGTATATTAGTATTGGGCAGGCTGTATATAAGTATTGGGCAGACTGTATATTAGTATTAGACAGGCTGTATATTAGTATTGGGCAGGCTGTATATAAGTATTGGGTAGACTGTATATTAGTATTAGGCAGGCTGTATATTAGTATTGGGCAGGCAGTATATTAGTATTGGACAGGCTGTATATTAGTATTGGGTAGGCTGTATAATAGTATTGGGCAGGCTGTATATTAGTATTGGGCAGGCTGTATATTAGTATTGGGCAGACTGTATATTAGTATTGGGCAGACTGTATATTAGTATTGGCCAGACTGTATATTAGTATTGGCCAGACTGTTTATTGTTGTCAGCCAGGCTGAATATAAGTAGTCTGAGCAAGCTGTTTTTATTATGCCTTGACCCGGCTGTTCAATAGTCTTTGCCAGACTTTAATATGTTTAGACTAGGCTATACATTAATATTGGCCAGGTCATTTATTTATCTTGGTCAGGATGTATATAGGTCTGGGCCAGGATGTAAATGAGTATATACTCATACATGTATGTATTGGACCAGCTGTTAATTAGACTTGACCAGGCATTATATTGGTATTGGGCAGGCTGTATATTAGTTTTAGGCAGGCTAACTACCGGTATTGGTCTTTGCCAGAAGGTAAATATGCAGTAGAGCTGTCATCGATATCGACAATATCGATGTATCGTTGATATTTTTTTGTCGATCAATAATCGATACACATTTTAAAAAATCGATACTTTTGACTTATAAATTAAATGTCTAGAAATTATAAAAATTCACCCAAAATATATGCAGAAACAATTATTTATATCAAATGTGATGCTTTTGTTATATAGTTGAATTATTTCATAGCAATGGTGACAAAAAATATTGTCTAGAAAAAATCATGCAGTGGACAAGACACTGTACAGAACATGTTTTTGACTGAAATCATTGAAACAGGTATGAAAGTGAATGACAGACAAGTGAGTATAGGATATTATCGATATATCGGTGTATCGTTGATTTTAGTTACTTGATATCGATATATCGTTGATATGCTTTGCACTGAATCAATGACAGCTCTAATATGCAGCCAGTATAATGATCAAACAATGGACCATCAAAATGTCACTTTTAAGCAGTACTAACAGAGTTGTTCAGCAGCAAGTAAAGTATGTAGTATTTGTTCAGCTAGGATATGTCCGTGGGAGACGGCATCTGAATTAAACATTTCAGACTATAGTGTTTAATATACATGAGCATTGCATTCAATTCTGTTATAAAGGTGATACATGCATAATGCTGTCTGCTTTTAGTTACAAAAACAAGATGAAAAAAACATTTTTTTGGGGAACTACCATAAACCATTGAATTTATTATAAATTTTAAATTGGTATCTACAAACCTTTGGAAATGTTGTCAATTTTTGGTGGGAAACCCTCATCTATTCCTCCACTAACAGAAAATCCAAATCTTTGATCCATCGCTAACATTTCTATGTGATAATATAGAAACTGGTGCTCATCATCCTCGTGTTCCAATACACAACTATTCTTGTTGTTTTTCAAGGCATTTTCTATTTCCTTAAACAAACTACTTTCTGTATCCTGAATATTTAACTCATGACTTTCTGTTTTATTCACTTTCTGGTCCTTTGGCTTCTTTGAATTTTTCTCCATTGTTTCTAAGCTTCCAAACCTAGAGGATGTACAATTGTAACCATTCGTAAATTTTTGAAAATCCTCCAAGCTTCCAACAGGAGCTAGATTAGCATAGTCCCCAGATGCATTACTGTTGCCTGGTAACTGTTTCCCATGGAGACTCTGACTTCTTAAAATATGGTTGCCAGGTAATGCCAGACTGTCACTATTGCCAGCAGTCTGGTCATCTTGAAATTCTGAAGCTGAACTTAGGTCCAGTAATGTGGAATACGGTGACAGACTTGACACCATTCTAACATTTAGGTAGCCTGGAAAAGAAATATCAAATTTAAAATAGCAATATCATTTGATAGCAAGATGGAAGGAACAGAAAGATGTACATTTTTTGTATTTATGAGCTATGAATCAAACTCTTATGAATAACATAGACATGTTATATTATTTCATATGAGACATGACATGTTATATAATTTCATATAAATAATAAATACATTTAACCTCATTGCTGTGATACAACAGTTAATATACCAAACAAACCTGCTTCATGCAATGTTATAAAGTAGCCCTAAGAATGAAAATAAGTATATGGAAAAGTATACTCAACTTTTTTTATCCATTGTACTGTTTCAGATATGGTTTATGATATTTCTAGAAAAATCATGTTTTGAAAACTAATTCAGCTCTATCACTTTTAATTGGCAAGGAGAATATAGTAGAATATAATACATTTATTACACATTTAATACAATACAGGTTTATCCCATCAGTTCAGTTATTTTGTTACATTCACATAACTTAAATGTTGAGCAAATAAGTCTATATCATTTAAAACTCCTGGGATCCCCAGTAACTTAATTATTTGTAAGAAGAAATCATTTGTATTTATCTATAAAATATTATCTAAGTGAGAGGTACATGCTGACTGAGGAAATCTTCACTGATAATTGAAGTAGTAGAATTAAGTTCATATTTTTCATTACATGAAAAAGTATTTAATCTTTAATATGTATCTGTGGATGGAGTGCTAAAATTACTTCATTAAATAAAAAAGTTTGTTATTCTTTAAATTTAGTCCATTAATGTATGATATAGATTTTACCCCTTAATGTGGATTTCCCTTAATAGACTGGTTGCATATAAGTTTACAGACAGACAAACACGCAAACAAGCACAGTGTGACATTCTTTATAAGATTATTGATGAAAGATAGTTAAATTTTATAGCTTCAGATACATATATTAAGTAAAACCCCTAGGACTAAATCATGGATGTGGTCCCTGGCATTAAAGTTTACAAGTTGAAGGTCACAGGTTCAATGCCCTATCCCTCCTTACTTAGTATTCTATCTTGAATATATCTCATGTGGACTCACTTAAAAGCTTCAGGATATGTTAACTAACACCAGCACAAGTTGTTATAATAACAGAGTCAGCTACTCAGTTGTAGTATTCTAATAAAAAAATATCACCAAACTTTCTATTAACATTGTTTTAACAATTCCATAATAAAATATTAGCAAGATATTCTACCTGTAAGTTATTATACATGTATGTTAAACAGACTCCACTTAGGTGTTTTGTTATGATGAAACTGGAATTATTCTTTCAAGATTGCTATACCATAAAGGCATTTGATGTTTGTCTATACCAATTATTTGTGTACAATTTTCAGACCATTGACACTCCCACCATTTTTCCAGAATGATATAAATGTATATCACTTTTATTATGCAAATTGACAAAAAAATAAAAGCTTGTTGATCCTTTTAACTCAATCTTAACACAAAAAAACATATTGATTTTCAATTTAATTCTAGGTATATTTTTTGTTGTTATTTTTCCATACTTTTAAGTGCTTTAGTTAATCTTTAAATGTAAGATTTTAAGATTTTATATTTTTAGACATTTGGACCTATTCCTATAGGATTATAGTTGTGCTGCAAAAATGTTTGAAATTTTTTTTGTTTCTCATTTACTAATTTGATGAAATAATATGAAAAGAGTTATCTAGTACAAGTGTAACCTGTAAATGTTCGCTTGTACAAAGGGAAACAACCTAACATTTCCTAATCCATTGTCAGTTTTCCTCTACTCACAGTTAAATACCCTTTCATCTATTGAAATTAACATGCTAACTTTCTTTTCATATCATATACCAGCCAGTAGATGCTGCTCGACAATTAAGTTAAAGCAATAAACCATATGTATATTAATTATGAACATATTAAATATGAATATTTTATATACCATCATTATTTTTTCTTTACCTGAATATGTGAAACAGGGGAACAATGCAAACAGTTTTTATGTGACCTCAATTTGTACATCTTTTTTCCCTTTTTTATTATCAAATGTTTTTTTATTGCAGATGAAACAATGTTACAGGTTAATTACTGTAAAATCATAATTTTGTTTGTGGTGTATAACTCATAGTGATTCACCAGGAATGATATATCTACATCTGAATCCAGCAAAGAACCTTGAATTCTTGCATGTGAATATTTCATGGAAGGCTGGCAGTTTTTCTTAGTTTTCATAGCTAGAAAGCAGTAATAGCACTTAGAAATCAACCAAAGCTCAATATACATATTACTTTTTAAAAGGAAATCATATGCTTTGCTGTAAGTATTTTTCTTTGCATTTGCATTTTGTTATTTCACAAAAAGTGAAAGTGAAGAAACATTAAATTCTTCCTTGATTTATATTGTTGGTCTAATCATGATATTTGCAGTAAACTTTATTGTCTTTAGTATTGTGCAAAATTTGGAGAAATCCTGAACCAAAAAGCATAGCAGACAAGCTTTCCAACGCCCATCATGTTCCTACGTATTAAGTATAATTAGACAAACTGCTGGCCTCAATGGTTAAACAGTATAAAACAATAACCTATCATAGGTAAAACATAAAACAAGAATTTCATATAAAACTTTTTTATCACAAATATATAGCATGCAACACAAATAGATCTATATAGCATGCAACACAAATATATAGCAGGCACAACACCAGAAAATGCACTTGTCACTATTAAGTACATGAAAGTCTTGTTACATGGAAAACTCCTGAAAATAACCTTTTATTACCAAAGACAAACACATTTTTTTTAATTGTGGGTACAGTTTTTATAATGTAACTTTACTTCTATTAAACTCATTAAAACCATTTATACAATCCTCAACAAGTTTGTACATTTAGCCCTAAAGGAAGTCTTCAGGTTGTATTATTGAAGTTTTAAACGTCTTACAACATTGTTATTTCATGGACTGTGTAAAGTTATCAACATTCATTGTGAACTATAACAATATTTTTGGCTTTTGTTGTTACATCCATACAGGACATTAATAGCAAACAAATACAGATATAAATCACCTATACATAGTATCACCATATGTAGAAAACTACAACTAATTTCACAAATCTTACATTATTGACTGAAACAGGAAGAAAATGTCAATTAAAACAATTGTATCTTAATAGTAGATTATTTTTAGAAAGAAATTTTGAAGGAATCATAATTGTAAAAGTTTCCATTTCTGTGAAATTAAGAATAATTTAGGTTATTTTGTAATCTAAGCATTGCATTGTTTTTCTTTTGTTTTTAAATCATGAGTTTAAATCAAGTTGATAAAGCTCCAGTTATATGATGACATTCCAGCTTGACAGAATCTTACTATTTTACTTCTGTAACCTGGAGGAATAACTTCCTTACAAGAAAAAACTCCAAGTCCATGATTGTATTTAAACCAACAGAGGTCAAAGGTGAGTATTTCACAGTCAGATACATTTAGAGTGATAAATAACTTTTAATTTTCAAAGTTAATGAATTGTTATAAATTAGTAAAGCATTGTCAAGAGACCCTTCAATGGAGACTGTGTATAGGTTAACCCTGATATAAAAGGAGAATTAAAACCTATTTTCACCCACATAAAATATATAACAGTATGTTATAGTAATTAGAACCATTCACTTATTCAGGAGAAAATGTGTCACCTCCCTTGTAGCTCATTCACTAGGACTGTAAAACTAGTACTAGTATTCTGATATGGTCCCAACAATGTCTGATGGTCCCAGGTTCAAGACCCTATCAAAGTACACATTTTTCTCACCTTATGACATAGTTAACACACAAAATTATGTAGATAGTTCATTGGTGTGATACTTCAGATTAATAGGAAAAAATTAAATGTTTTATATGCAAAATATGTTAATCATTTAAACAAAGAGAGTTATCAAATAAAAACGAACCTTAGCTTTTTTTTAAACAGGCATCTGAAAACCAATGTAAACATAATTTCCATAAAAATATTTGATGAAAACGCACCAACTTTATCCTCAAACTGGCAAATGACAAATATTTGTCATACAAAATGATTGTTAAAATATACATTAGTTTACAACAAGGGGACCGGTATTTCTAACAATCGGGGTACTATCAAATGGTATAATCTATCTACGATACCGTATCAATCTATCTGATCAAATCTCAAAGAAAAAAACAGACACAATAATTTATATTAATGGCAATCCAGTGTAAACATACCTTTAGAGTCAAATTTGGACAATAGGAAAGATCCTTGTTCCCTAGTATATAAACGTTAGTGTGATTTGAAAACTACATTAAGTTGAATGAACCTGTAAAAATTACATTTTAATGGTAAATATAGTGAATTAATTTTATATTAGTCCAAGTCTACAGATTTTAAATCCTTTATTGAACTTTTCTATTTTGAAGCTGCTAAAACGCTGTGTTTTTTAAAAAGATAGTTTAATATATATTAATATAAATATAACACTAAAATAAAAACCAAGTATTTTACAAACTGCCACAATATTCATGCCACAATCTCACACAGTTTTGTATTTTATAGAAAGTTATTTAAAAGGAGGAAAGACAGGAAAATATACTCATATAGAGGTTAATTATTGTCATCAGTAAATATCTGTTTTTATAATGAGGTTAGTATAGTTCCTACCTCAGTATCAATTATTGTTTAGATACAAATATTTAAAATGTACCAAAATATATGCAAATGTAGATATGTAAATTAGATAACTTACACCATGATTAACACATCCATAAAAACAAACTCATTTTCTAAACAAAGATTAGAGTGAGTGATAACTTATTGTTTTCATTAAGAAGACGTGACTATGATAATAGTGATATGTTTGTGCGAGATATGTTCAAGGTGACAGACTGACATATCTACCTGTCAATTATTATTGTGTGTCAGAAAAAATACACCAGCTTACAGACCATCAATGACAAACCTTTCATTTTGATGTGTAACATTTACAGTAAAAACAATACAACTGTTATATGGTAAGTGAAAAAAATGGAGCTAACTAGTTTATATCTTCAAATGTACTCCGTTCAACATCTTGTAATATAGTAATTCTGTATTTTAATATTAACTATTGTACATGTTAACACTAATTTTACTGAGAACAAAAAAATGTTAACATTTTAATTTCATTAAAATTAAACTAAATTGTTTAAAATCATCTTTTAAAGTTTATCAAATAGAAATAATCTTGTCTATAAAGTAAGGCCTTAATCATTTTTAAAAACGGAACATTACCTGAAGTAAGATGACAGAATTAGCATACCAGTGTTGTCCCTATGTCTAAC